ATACTAACCTCACTCCTTTGTAACAACTAAGGCAAAAATGTAATTAATTCAGAAAATCTTTTCAGGACCCCACCTTGAGGTTTCGGGACCTCACTTTGGGTCCCGACCCCAACTTTGGGAAACACTGCATTAAAACATGTAATTTTTTTAATTGTAAATTTAATAATGAAACAGTTATAGAAGTACAGCTGGATAAGCAGTCACAATCTGTAACTGTGGGGGATTTTTAAAAAGTTAATTATGCAATAAAAAGTGAAAATAGCTGAGAAACTGACCCAAAACTAAAACAACAATATTAAATTAAAGATGATCATACTTACGCATAAAAAAAGGCTGTCAGCATCTGTTGARTGGACATTTGGTTCTGTTCTGCAGCAGGTCTTCAGATTCAAATCAGGTGCGTTACAGAAAATAAAGTTTTCAACCAGTGGACTGAACAATGCATAGATTTGACCTAAACATTTATTTTTCTTTTAATTCATCTTTCATTGCTAAAAATAAAGGTAAACCAGTAAAAATGTAGAAAAGCCCGTTTGAAAAGCGTTCTTATGTGAGCGCGTGGCGCCACCGCGCGGCCAGGCGTCGCAACTGCAGCGTCACTGTTGCGAGGCAACACTCCCAACAAACGCKGCTTTCTGCCTTCCGCTTCTCTGCTTTCTTCTAAACATGTCGAGAAAAGAGGACGTGGATTACGTTCGTGACAAGATTCACACCGAGATGATAAGAAAAGAGCTGAGACTGCAGAAACTGCACACCGAGTTCCACATCAACCCTTTCAGGAAACGTGAGCTAACCTGTCCTCGAACTCCTAATAAGAATTAAATAATAAAAACAATAAAAAAACATTAGTTTATATATGTCTGTCGGAATATTTAGAGCTGTGTGTTCTGTTTTAGTACACATCCTCCCAGATAAGCCTTTGTCCCGGAAACAAGCTGAACTAGTTGCAGAGGACCGTAAGTTTACTTCAAATTAAAACAAAAATAAAATGAATTTGGTTTCTTGTAGTGCCTGTTTCTCATCGTGCACGTTTTCCAGCTGGGTTTATTGAGTCTTATAAACGAGCTCAGATGGAACCGATGAAAAAATACCCGYGTCCAGTCACAGAAAGTCAGGAGGTCGGATGGATTTTAGCTTCACAGGTGAGAAAAAAAAATCACTGTTTATGAAATATTACTCATAAATTGTCTTTGTATCATTTAAAAATTAATTGCATTTATAAACCAGCTGGTTTGTCATGATTTTCTGTCATTCACAGAATAAAAAGCATGTGCTTATTTTATTGTTGACGCTTTTTTTTGTAATTATTTTCAAAACCTAATGCTCATAACTTCCATTTTTGTCCATTTCTTTCTCTCCAGATCACGTCGTTCTCCCACGACCCTCGATTTGATTTTCGGCGAGCTACCTCAGACGTCACCAAACTCTCCACATTTGCTCTGCGACGTTCAAAAACAACCAAAGTCACCCGCGGGCAGGATGCGGCCCGTGAGCCACCAGTTGAATAGCCCTGCATTTGTTTTGAATTACAAACACACGTAAACACAATACAAACATTTTCTTTTTCTACTTTTATCTTTGCAAAGTAAAAACAAGTTTATACAGGCTGCGTTCACTGTGACATACTAACCATATTAATGACGGAAAGAGCAAAGCTGACAGCAGCTCAATAAAACAAATTGTCATGTCAGGAGCAGTGTGAGGGGAAAACCTCAGAATACACAGTATCCATTGGTAAGCAGAAAGARTGGTGCACACACTGATGTGTAATTACAGAAAGTGATTAAAACCACCTTGTAAAGTCTGTGGAGACACAAGTCATCACAATAAAAACTGCTTTATGATGGGTTTTTTCAAGTTGTAAAACATTTTTTATCTTGACAAGAGGTCTTCTTTTCTGTCGCTCCAAGAGTTTATAAAGTCCTCCACTCTGATCCACATTTAAAGAGATCCATGATTAGTTATAACATTAGACTTTATTTAATAAACATATATTTTAAC